GATTCTTGCTTTGTTGGATAGTGTGCTGTCTGGTACTGCTAGGCCCCTTTCTTTTTTTACTTTTTGGTGAGGCAGTCGGGATTAAGTGACTTGCCCAGGGTCACACAGCTAGTAAGTGTCAAGTGTCTGAGGCCACATTTGAACTCAGATCCTCATGACTCTAAAGCTGGAGCTCTATCCCCTGCGCCACCTAGCTGCCCCTCTTTTTTACTTTTTTAAAAAATTGTTTCTGTTGGGATTCTTGACTTTTTGTTCTTCCAGATGTATTTTATTAATTTTTCTAGCTCTACAAAATAATCTTGTGGTAGTTTGGTTGGTATGGCTCTGAATAAGTAAATTCATTTATATAGCATTTCATTTTTATATATTAGTTCTGCCTATCTATGAGCAGGTAATATTTTTCTTAATTGGGTCTGTATTTATTTCCTTAAATATTTCCTTATTTGTACGGTTCCCTTGTCATGATATTCTCTTTTTTCTGTTCCTGTTCTGTTGTACAATCTTTATTCCATATTTGCATGGCATTCTCTCCTTGCTTCTATCCAGTTTCAACTCAGATTTGACCTCCTACATGAAGTCTTTCTGATTCTCCAAGCTGCTATCCATCTCCTCCTTATCAACACCAAAAATATCTTGTATTTTGTTCCATGGGTTTATGTTTATCCCAGTAGAACACGCACTCTTTAGGGTAGCTTTTTTATCTTTCTCTTAGTATCCCCAGCAGTTAGTACAATGCCTGACATGTAATAGGTCCTTGTTGAGTGTTAATTTTATTTGTTCTTGAATGTTAACTCCATAGCATGAAGAACCTCTCCTTCCCCATACTACTAAGAGAATGTTTGTTGGCCTTTTTTGGTTTGTTTTCCCAGATGAAAGTCCTCTTTTAAATTTGCGGAGGATTTCAGTAATTTAAACTTTTCTTAAGTGCCTACTATTATGCTCTAGGTAATGTGCTACCACCTATGAGTGCTGTAAAGATGAAATCTGATGCAATTCTTTCTCCTGAGGAGTTTATTATATGTTCACTGGGTTGATAATAGAGAATACAGATGGACTCTATGGTAGAATGGGAAGAATGCCAAGGAGAGATGCAGCCATATTTGAGAAATCTGAGAAAAGAGGAAATGCATTTAGGGAAGGTTTCCTATAGTTAGTGATAGATAGGGCAGCACTTGAATTGGTTCCTGTAGCAGAGACAATAACAGAATCCATTTAAGTAAGTGTAAGAATGCATAATAAGTAAGGGGATAGACAGAGAAGAGATAGTAGGATGAGAAAGGTCTGTGAGGAGCAATAGTGAGTGTGGTGCTTAATGAGCGTGGAGTGTGTGGAGTGCTGCGAGAGGTTTTGAAAGCTAGGTTTGAGATATAGTACATCTAGCAGTGGCCATAAAAATCAAATGATTCTTATTTTTTATTAAGCAGATACTTAATATAGTGTCATGTAGTGCTGTGCTGTTAAATGTCTCATGTTATATGCCTTAATTATGTCTCAGTTCATTTGTAGGGTGTGTCTTTATTCTTAGGAGTTGTATACTGAAGCAATTCTGATATTGGTTAGAAACTGGTGTGGAAAAGAGGAGATTTTGAATAGCCATTTGAAGAGGTGGTAAAGCGGCTTCCAACCTGCTTTATTAATAAACAAAATCATCACACAGTTGTTTTTAATGCTCCATTAAAGCAGGTCAAATTGGTTTCGTCTCCTGTGTGTAGAACATTTGCATATCCTGTCACAGTTTAGTAGTGCATAGAAACAAAATTGTTTCCTACTAAGTTAGTGGAAATGCTGATTTTAATTACATACTTGAAGGGAAAAGTGAGGAATTGGTGCGTTCATATGTATATGTAAATATATTTCGTTGTTGTCTTTTTGGGATTTGCAAGCCTAGCAGAAGGAAGTTAGTAGAGTTTTTGTTTTTAAAATGTAGTATTAAAGCAGGATAGACCCAATACCTGGGCACCACACAGATAGTACAGTAGTAGCACTACAGATTCTTATCATTTTCCTTTATTAAAAATGCAGACTTTGGGGCAGGTAGGTAGTGCAGTGGATAGAGCACCAGCCCTGGATTCAGGGGGACCTGAGTTCAAATGCGGCCTCAGGCACGTAACACAATAAATTATTAGCTGTGTGACCTGGGCAAGTCATTTAACCCCCATTGTCTAGGCCTCCCCTTCCCCCCCCAAAAAAAAGCAGACTTCAAGTAAGTAATTTGTTTGAGATGTGTAAACCATTTTAAGAGAAAACTAAATAAATTTATTCTATTTTCTGCACCCTCTCTATAAAACTTTATTTAAATCAAAACAAATTGAAACCTGAACCCTTAATTTCCCACCTCCTTGTCTGCTGAGCTGTCCTATGAGTCATGCCTTTTTTTGAGCTAGCTCAGAAATAAATTTTTAATGAACTGAGTTGAATAATTTTTCTGGCTAAAGACATTATGCTACCAAATGGCCTTTGAAATGTGCATTCTTTTGATCCTTTAGCTAGATGAATTACTCTGTTGCACTCAGAGAGAATTAGAAGTGCTATTGTGTGATTCAGGCTCGGATATTGCATTTAAACCATTTAAAAATTGTTTTTGGTTTTGACCAGTTTAGTTTACAAGTGACAGGGAAAGGGATTACAAAAATTTAGCCATCTTTGCTTTAGCTATTTTTTTTTAAGCTGGGAAGTACTAGATACAAGTTGGCATTCATAGTATGTGAAGGTAAAGGAGGTTTTGTTTAATCAAAGTCTGGCAATTTATCAGCATCTTCCTGGTTTAGGACCCTGTTATTTGGCACTTTCTGTTCTGCCTTATTATTTTTGAATGTAGTAGAGTGAAAGGATTAGTGATGACCTTATAGGAAGTATTTTTGTTATTTGTTTTATGACTAGAAGACTTCTGGTTGTCCAGTGAAGATTACTTTATTCCAAGGTAAAATCTTGTATGTTACATATTATTAGAGTTTGTTCTAGACTTGTATTTATGTATGGGAAATGTTTTTGTGTCAAGATTTGTGCAACACATGCATAGGTTGGTGGAATTTGCAGCATTTTAAATAGTAAGTAGCCTTCTAGAAGTGGTCTGTGAGAGAGGTGGTGATGTGGTGGTAATAAAAGGGGTGTGTGTGTGTGTGAGTGAGAATTTAATATTAAGATTGTAGTTGCCTTCTTAACAATAACATATTGGGAAGTATGGGGAGGTGAGGAGCATAAGAGGGCTTTGAAGGTAGTTGGAGAGATTAGAGAGCGCTATAGAATTTAGCTTTTAGGGAGCAAGCCTGAAAATTGTTTGGCCCTGATGGATTGAAAGGAAACTCACTGAGATATCCCTTAGGGAAATGATACAAATTGGTGCTTAAAAAATAAAACAAAAATGAGAACTGCACCGTAATTTCAAATAATGCTCTAAGAACAGGTTGTGCTGCATTGGCCCACAGTGGGTTGCGCTCCCAAGGGAATTTAAGAAAGATTGGCACCCAGTGAGCTATGTTTATGCAGTAAAGAAACAAAGATACTGTATGCATTTATCACATTATACATGCTAGCCCACTCTCTCCTGTCAATCAAATACATAGTGATACCTTTGATGTTAAATTGCACTAGCACAGGTGCTCTTGCTATACTCCTGTTTATGCCTCATCAAGAATGGGTGCCATTTGTCACTTTGCTGATAGAGGAGATAATTTGGCCCACATGTCTGTGGTGGTGTGTGGGAATTTAATGGAGGGGTTGTGCTTGTTGTTCAGTCATTTTCAGCTGTGCCTGACTCTTCATGACCCCTTATGGGGTTTTCTTGGCAAAGATACTAGAGTGGTTTGCCATTTCCTTCTCCAGCTCATTTTACAGATGATAAAACTGAGGCAAACAGGGTTAAGTAACTTGGCCAGGGACATACAGCTAATAAGTGCCTGAGGCCCCATTTGAACTCAGAAAGATGAGTCTTCCTGACTCTAGCCTGACACTTTGTCCATTGTGCTATCTAGCTATATATGCTGTATGTTTTGACTACCTTTGACAGTAGAAGCCTTAAAGATTGCTTTTTCAGTGATGGCAGTGAAAACTTGGAATTATTTCTGGGGAAGATTATAGAAGTTTTCCCTCATATCGTTTTAAGAGAACACTGTGAGCAGAAAATAATATCCCACAGTAGCAAAACAATTTTTATTGTCGTTGCCCTGTGAGATGAGTAATGCAGATATTATTGTCCCCATTTGCTGCTGGGTAAAGTGAGACTCGGGGTGAGTTGACACGTCCAAGTTTATACAGATGATATCACATCTGGGTTATGAGCTATTATTTCTTTAGCCTAAGTTTCTGTGTAGAGATCTGTTTGAAGTCAGGTTGGCTGTTTTTTTGCAACCCTTTTAATATGATTATAAGAACCATTTTCCTCATACTTTCTGAAGCATGAAGTGTTCTCTCTCTCTCTCTCTCTCTCTCTCTCTCTCTCTCTCTCTCCCCCCCCTTCCTCGTTTGAGCAAATTGTCTTGATAACTTCAAAAGTGGAGATAGAAATTTATCTCCAAAAGTTAAGATGTTTTCAGTTCTATCCTATAATAACAATGGAATTTGAATGGAATTCAAATTCCATAGCTTTTTGCTTACCCTATTGAGAATAATTTGGGGGTATGGGAAATAAAATTTCAAAAACAACCTTTGATAGATGTTACAAAGATGAATGAGGATTGCTCCAGTTGAAACTTGGTCTTATCAATCAAAACTAAAAGCTATGAAATTATAGTAACACTGTCTCTGCAGAACAGGGAAGAAGAAGAGGAAGGGTGGTGGATGGGACTATGTGGAATGTCTAGCTTTTTTGATAAGTTTTAGTTTTGATGAACTTTTTCTTTTAATTTTTATTTTTTATACAGGTAGGCTCTCTTGTAGGGCAGGGAGAGATAATATTGGGAAGTGCCAATGACATTAAAACAAAAATCATGAATATAAAAGGAAAAAAAGCCCTTTTGAAAAATCACTCTTGTGTGTAATCATTTTCTATGTGGTTGTTGCAGGCACTACACCTTCCAAACCAACAGCGTTAGCCAATGGTGATCATGAATTAGAAGAGAATGATGCCACAGGTAAGTGTTTCTTAAATAGTTAAATCATATAAATAGAACCTCTGAGTGTTATTGAAACCCTTATTAACTCCTGGTTAGAAGAGGATGCCTAGTGAAAATGTGTGGACAGAGCCTTTCTGTATTCTTATATTACATGGGTTTCTGTGTATTACTTGTGCCATATAAAACCTTAAAAGGAAAAAAAAAGTTTGCCTTAATCCTCCTGGAGCTGTACCTTTCACTTTTTAATTTTGGGAGCCCCTTGGTGTTAATTAAGGGATTCCTATGGAAAGGAGAATGTCATAATGGAGGCCTTTACTTTAATTGCTCTGTTTAATAATTAGTGCCCCCTCACATTTATTGAAATTGAAATCATTCTTTTCTTTTGTGTACATAAAGCTTCTAGTCCTTTCCCCAAGCTGAATGTTAGAATGAGAAAAGGTTGAGAAATATTTTTCTCTGCTTTTACATGCCTTGTTTTAGCTGTGGCCATTGTGAAGTTGTTTCTCCCCCCCTGCCCTGGCATTTTTCTCTTTGATATTTTTAATTTATCACAAATTCTTGTGGGATTTCATGGTTCCTTCTCCACACCGTTGCAGTGCTATTCTCTTAATGTGTTCTTGGAACTTACCTGGTAAGCTCTGATTTGGCAGCAAGTGTCTGTAGAAGTGTACTATGTCAATCTCTCACCAGGTATCCCAATTGAGTGACTTGAATATTGTCAACAGCCATCTGAGAATGACACTATGTTTTTATGAATAATTACACTTAAATTATAGTTGTGAGAGAAATGTCACTATATTTTCCCCAACTGAGTCAGCTATTTAAAGATCATTCTTAGTAGAAGAGAAGGATAAAACTAGAGAAGTAAGAAGTATTGTCTGTCTCCCTTGCCTCTGCAGACACAAATGCAGTCAGCAGATGTGTAGGTTGACTTAGTGGTGAGCCAGGCAGTTGTATAATAGAGGATTATGCATCATCTCTGGGTTGCTTCTTCTATTTGTATCCTGGGATCTTTGCCTCTGTTTTATCTTGGCTGGGCCTGCCCCACATATCTAGGCTAAATACCAGGGATTTTCCTGTTCTTATTTCCTGAACACAGAAAGGTCCAACCAAGGAGAACAGTTATTCTGCCAAAAGCTCTTTGATAAATCTGTATATTGAGTTTGGCAACGGCTAGTTATTTCTGGATTCACTCTGGATTGTTTGACTTTGGGAAATTCAGTTGATATTGCTAGCTACGTACCTCACAATGACACTGTGGGAATTGATGACTCATTCTCATTCTTTCTTTTATTAGTTCAGTGATTTATTATGTAGCTTATATGTTGAAAGCACTGTTAATCATTAGTGATAGAAATAATTACAATACCTTCCAAATTCTTTCAATTTTGTATTATATTATCTCTATTATTATTAGAATATAACTCCTTATTCTAATGGAACTAAAATGGGCTATCATATAGATAGACTTTTTCCCAAAGTAATGACAGTAAAAACATTTAAGGTCATATGATTTTCAAGGAAAATATTTTGCATGCCTGTCTGCCATTTGTATAAAAGAAAAGAAAACAAAGGACTTGATGATGGTGGTTCTTCCTGCCATGAGTATGAGTTTCTAAAAAATGGAGACATCTTGTATCTAGATCTTTAGAAATAGACACCCCAGAGGGGGAGGACATGCTAATGAGTTAATCTGAACAGTTGACTTAAAAGGTCATTAATTTCTCTGGGAAAGAAAGAGCTAATACATTTATTTAGCAGTCCTACCCTTCTGGACTAGATTTTGGTGAAACTTGGGAAGGTGTAAGTTAACTCCGCCCCCAGAACCCTCAATGTGAGCCAATTGGTGTTAAATTTATCCATAAACCATTTCTTTTCCCTTAACCACACCTCTCACAGTGGCTTCATCTGGGACTCAGCTGTGGGCCTTTTGGTTTGGAGCCATTTTTTTTTACAGGTATTTGGAGGGGTTTGGGGGACAGCTCAAGCAAGTCACTGCTTTTATTCCACCCTCTGTGGCCTTTTGGGCAAGAGGAATATAAAAGTCTCTTTGGAGACATTGTTGGAGAGCTCCTGACCTGAGACCCCCTAGGTACCTTGTTGACGTTTTGACCTTCTTGCCCAAAGTCCTCACAGCTGGGGCAAACTTAACCACAGCTGCCCTCAGTGTGTAGCACAGCCTTCTTAATTGAAACAGTTCTAGCTTGTGTGTCATGGGTATGTGAAGGGAGAGGGGTCATGCTAACTAATTCCCCATTCCACCAATAGCTTGACTGAACAAGTTCCTGTGCTAGAAAAATTATTCAGAATAAAGCACTTTACCAAATTACAGCTATCCCAATTGTGGAGGGATTAATCAAAGGAAGAAAACCATAATTTCAGTAATTGCTATATATGGCAAAGTTTTAAATAAAGTAGCAGTAATGAGATTACAGCAACATATATCCAAAGAAATTCTATAGTGACCAAGTTGGATTTATATCAGGGATGCTAGAATAGTTCAGTATTAAGAAAATACCGAGCATAATTAGTTATGTAAATAATGCAACTTTGACAAAATGAATAATTTATTTGTTATATAAACCTATTCAAGCCTAAGAATAAAATGGCCCATCTTATGATAAAGACCAGTATGAGAAGAAGTATGTATCTATAGACAAGAGAGAGAGTATTCTTTGAAACGAAAAACCACTGGAAGCCTAGAGAAATAAAATTATAAATAGGGGTAAAGAAGCTATAAATTGGCTTTAGTTTCAGAAGACAGTCTGGTTCTTATGTTCATACACCTACATTTTCTCCCTTGCCTCCTGCCGCTCACAGTTATACCTCATATTTTCTTCCCCTTGCTCTGAAAACCGTAATGAAGCCACTGCCACTACTTCTGGGAAGGATGTACTGATTTCTAGTCCGTTGCCCCACTTGCCATTTTTGCAACATTCTTTCCCTGGATATCACTCCTCTAGATGTATTTTCTCCCTTGTTAGAATACAAACTCCTTGATCCAGTGAACCTTGCTTCTATATTTTTGTATCCTGAACACTTTGTAAAATGTTTGATACACAGTCAAAAATACTTGCTTTTCATTCATTCATTCAAATTATGCAAGATGTCACAAAAGTGTCAATGTACTTGCAAGTTTTAGTAGCTTAAAATTTTTTTAAAATTATCATTATCATAAAGCAGTAATCACCAGATCTAATTGATATGACTAAAAAAAGAAAAACAGATCAGTGAAACAGATTAGATAAGTCACATCCAGTAGTGAATGAAAATAGATTGGAAAACATTTAGGGAGAAAAGAAGTTGAGACCATTTATACCATATCCTACAATATATCAAATGTATATGAACTTAATGTATAAGATATCTTAGAAACATTAGATGTCATTCATGTTTGTGGTTAAGGGGACAATTCCCAATCAAAAACAAGACAAGGAGATCACAAAAAGCAAAAAAAGACAATTTTAAAAATTAAATTAAAAATAAAAACTCTGCATGGACAAAATCAATGCGATTACAGTAAGAAGAGGACTGTGGAGGAGGGAGAAAAATCCAGCAAACATCTCTGACAAAGTCTGATAAATGTAATATATAGGGAACTGACAAAAATATGAAAGGTATGCCCCAGAAGGCAAATGATCAAAAAACATGAACAGTTTTGAAAAGAAGCATTGTAGTACAACAGTCATCTGGAAAACTGTCCAAACACTAATAGTAAGAGAAATTCAAATTACAAATTGCTAAGGTTTCATCTCATACTGGACAAATTGGCAGAGATGGTATAAAAACTGAAATACCTAGTGTTGGAAGAGCTGTGGTTAAGACATAACATGCTCTGTTGGTTGATCATTTGAATGTTCACAACCATTTTAAGAAAAAGCATCAAATTCTTCCTTCTTTTTATCCAGGAATATCACCACTGGACTTGTATCCCAAGACCTCCAAGACAGAAAGGGCTTATATATACAAAATATTCATAGCAGAGCTTTTTGAGGTAGTAAAGGACTAGAAACTAAGTCGGTGCCCTGAGCAAATCCTGTTGCGGGCTGAGAGGTTGGGAGGTTGTGACCCCTCAAAGACCGGAGTAGAGGACGGGTCGTTTGGAGTGAATTCACAGACTCAAGCATTCTTTAATTCTTTAATTCAAGGTGGCAAAGATTTATTGTTACGCTTTTCAGCGGGCAAGGATTCTTAAAGGATCCTGCAACCTTAGAGAGGTACAGGTAAAGTTTATATGGGATAAAATGCAATAAAACATATGTCAAATATGCTAACTAGGGGATTCAGGGTGGGATTAGGGAGTGGTTAAGGAGTGGTCAGTTCTCAATTGAAACTCAAGATAAGAAAAGTCCCATTATTCAAGAGAGTATCTGGTCCCAGACATCCTGGGCCCAGTGAAAACAAACAGGAAGAATACTGATCAGCTCTATCTGGTCCTGGAATTTGCTGACACAGGAAGGGGTGTTTTTAGTTCACTCAGAGAGAAAAAGATTAATTTAGGTTTTTTGGCCCTTATTGGGTCTCAATTGATCTTAAATGATTATCAAGGGACAGTGTTTCTGAGGCTAGGGAGAAATTGGGGCCCAAGTACAAGCACCCAAACATAAGCACCCAAGCACCCCAACAGAAGCAGTGAATATGAGGAGATTATAGAAACATAGGGGAGACAGACGATGAACTGAGCAAAGAAAGCAGAACCAGACAGACAGAGCGTAGAGTGGCACAACACCAAAGGAAAGCTTAATTTGAATTGAAGGTAGTGGTCATTTTAAATCCTTGCTTGAAGGAAGAGTGGAGGAACTATGCCTGTGGAAAGTTTCATCTATTTCTTTCCAGTCAGTGTCTTATCAGTCAGTCTTGCTTAACCATTTTTCTCTTTTTTTTTCCCCTTTATTAAATTTAGTTTTTTCAATTAGTAAGTATTTAATTGTTACAGTGGATAGTTCTCTAAAGAAATTCTGTAACATAAAATATTTGAAGGATAAAATCTCTTTAGCAGGAAAAGTTCAAATGGAAGG